TATATATATATATAAATCTCATCAGAATAAATTCCCGTTCGGAATCTCAGAAAATCCATGTCATCCCCCAATTATTATTTCAAGTTAGTGGTTCCTGAACTGTGAATGAAAGCTGAAATTGCCCGCAAGTATTGAGAAAGTGGTTAATAAGCGCACCCTCTACTCTTTCCTGTAATGGATCAACTTGTCTTAACAACTTATTTTCGTCCTAAATCCTTAATGTCTAATAACACTTTGAAGGCTAAACGAAAATCGTCTAACTGATGTGGCAAGACGTGTTAATTGTACTGCTACCGGTTGTCGGATTCGCGCAGTGTGCAGCTAGCATATTCATCTTAATAATTTTCATCAAGATGAAAAAGGAAATATACACCTTCCTGACAGGTCTAGCAATCACAGGTATCGTTGTTAGCATTCAAACCAAGTTTCACAATAAATATCACCACCAATCGAGTCATTCGTTGCAGATTGCTTGGCTGGAATTGGAGGTGTTTATGCTGGATTTTTTGGTGTTTATATGACCATATATGGAGAAACAGAGAAGGTGATTCAGGAGTGCAACATTAGATTATTCTTCAGCCCGAAATTAATTCAATTATTTCGTAGAATCTATGCAGTAATTTTTCATTTAAATTATTAGGCCATTGAAATATAATTTCAATTCAAAAGCAACGACATCTACCAGTCATTCATTTCGTCTGTTCCTGATGAACAGATTTAGATTAAAAAAAGAAGAATGCAATTGTAACTCACAACCGAAGTTGCATTGGTATGAAATGATATCAAAATAGACGAAAGATATTTCAGCGAATCAAAAGTATTGATTGCTTGATTCGTGGATGGTTCATCTCAATCTGGGTTTACAGTGATTTATCACAAGCGGCTTTTCTGGTTGCAGCAGCGTTAGATCGCTTAATATTCATTTTTGTACCAAGCAAATACATGAAGGTGCATTATAGACTTCAGTAATTATCTCAGCTGACTTCATTCAGCAGTTCTTTCCGTATCTAATTATTTTCCAACTCGAACTGAAAAGTATGCCGTGAATGAATATTTATGCTATGCAACCGGAGTGTAACAATGTTCCACAAGAATATCACAACAAAAAGTAATATGACAAATTGACTGCTTCCTTGAGGTAGCGTCGTATTATCATGGAGTGCTTGTGGTTCCCGGACTGTTAGCGATATCAACGTCCAGTCTAGCTCCTGTCTGGATACTCGCTATGACCAAGCAACCCGAGAATAGCTCAGTTTCAGCGTTCTGTTTTCCCGCGGAGGTTATCGGTAACATCTTAATTCATCTTCGGATTCTGTCATTTGCTGAACGTAAAGTGTGGAGGCTATTCCTTGAAAATTTCACATAGTTTATTAGAGTCTCATTTATCAGACTCTAATTGGCAAATTTATCTTAAAATACGGACATTAATGTATTGTTTATTATGGACTCAACTATGACTTTTATGGGAGCATGTTAATGATGATTGTCGATTAAGGCTGAATAAACGCAGCAGTTTATGATTATTTAGCAGCATAAATACGGTTACAAGCCTAAGCTATGAACTGCGGTAGCAACACTAAAATGTCAATTAAATGTTTACCAGTGTTCATTTTCGATATTTTACGCTCTGTTGAAATTTACGCTCTGTTTAAGACAACGATATCGAATATATTTATCAACAAATCCGCATCTGGTCGCCAGTCTGTTGTTTTGCACTTCTTTGCTTGACATTTTCGCTGTTTTTGTTCAGACAAATCAAGCAAAGCTGGAGTTATGCAATTGGGAATGATCACACCAACAACAAACAGGTTTTGTGCTTCGTTGAATCGAGTTGTTGTCTACTGCTTTGTTGCCTTCACCGGGTTGGTCAGTTTGCTAGAAATGTAATGGTAGGCCGACATAAATTCTAAGTGTATTAGGTCTTTCATGAATGCAACTTCGAGAAAATAAGGCAAAGTTGATAATTTTGATTGGGAAGGACATAATTTCAAACTTATTGAATTTAAGTGAGAAGTCGGTCGTTACTAGGGTTTGCACGGGATCCCGGGACTACGGTTCTGATCCCGATCCCGGGATTTAAGTTTCGAAAAAATCCTGGGATTTCGGGATTTGATAAAACAGGTCAATTTGTGTNGATCCCGGGATTTAAGTTTTGGAAAATCCTGGGATTTCGGGATTTGATAAAGCAGGCCAATTTGTGTGAATTTTGATAGTATGCCCATCTTGAAGTAAGCCTTAATCATTCCCATCTAATTTATATGCAGTTATCTTTGCTGTTTGTCCCCTATCATTGATGTTCAGCTAAGGAAATAGNACTTTTACGTAACATTTCATTGAATATTCAACTGATTATTCTGCTCTTCATTGGTTTATATCACCCTCATCTGGATGCATTTCTATGTAATAGACTAACAGAGATAATCACATTTTCTAATAAAAACCAAGAGCAACAAAGTTCAATGAAATTTTGAGCCGTTTCCTCCCACAAGATTTGTTCGGCCTCAATATTCCATCTGTTAATTCAACTGCATGTTCCAAAGACTGCAAGTCTTTTTACTTCGTTATTTGGAAACGTTTTTATCCCATCAAAATGTTCATAAATTTTCATTGAGTTCAATCATAGTGAGAATTCATTGCCGAAGTGAGGGAAATTGTTCCATTCAAAAGGATCTTGTGCTTGAAAATCAAGTAAATTTCCATGATCTCTGATCGTAATTATCAAACATGTACAATAAGTGCTCGATGGTTCGATAAAAATCTATTGCGGATGTTTTTTTCCACTTTTTAGATAAGCTGTGAACTTTTAATTTTTCAAAATTCAAATGATATAATTCATGCGGTGCATTTCTTTCGTAAAAAGTCGAAATTTCCGAAATGGCAGAATTCACCTGACGTTAATACTACGAGAAAATAGACTTGAAGCAGTGCAAATAAGTGTTTGAGAATAAAGAATTTCATATTCGCATGCAAGTGTACTGTTATTAGCTTAGACCCGAGACGACAAGATGCCTTAGCATAGAATATGCAGTATGCCCTTGCGGCATGATCATTGGAATCATTATATGAAATATTAATTTGAATCTGAATAATTTGGTTCCTCGAATTTGTTCAATAATTTGTTGAATTAACACCTTTCTGATTAATAATGAACATATTGGCTCGAAAAAATGTGTTTGAACATGTTCCGCATCGATATTACAAAAATTGTTCAATCCCGGGATTATCCTGGAATCAAAAATCGATCCCGGGATTAAATCCCGATCCCGGGATTGAAAAATCGTCGGGATTTTGCAAACCCTAGCCGTTACTTTAACTTTGTAGATTGCTGAATTGCAGTTTTCCATTAATCACTTGGTGGGATATCAGCCTAACAAATGATTTTCCATCACTTCCATAGCATTATTACACTTTTTTGTGAGTACTCTCCCTTACAAACGAGCATTAATTTAAGAAATTTCAGCATTTCATTTGCATTCTGATTCGTTCGATTCTCTGCATCCTAAGCATTAATGTACCACTTCTGCCAAATGCAAATAAACCAGTAACATCAGTGTTATATGCTAATCGTGATGTCATTTCACGTATCCTATACGGCATCAGTGTTTGCATATGTCAACCAATTATTTACTTTGCCATATTGAGCACATTCCGTGACGATGTCAGTTCTGTTTTCAAGCGCTACAGTCATAACACTAAACGTGAATGGATCTCTGCAGGTTCATGCATATTACTTAACTGTTTGCTGCTGTAATAATCAGAATAGGATCATGTTATCACCTAGAAGAATTGAAAAAAAAGCGTACATTTGCTGTTTAATTATTTCAAGCAAGTCTGTGAAAGGTTTGAGAATTTGATACACAAATAGATACAGAAGATGTGAACACAATTTTATGCATAATTTTTTGACAGATGAGTTCAAAGAAATAAAATGGTCGCTGTAATTTGTGTAAAAGTTTCAGGCGATCCACCACTTCAAGTAGGTCGCGAACTGACGGGCGCAAACACTCAATTCGGTAGTTGGTATTCACTAACTGGCAATATCATCGGTGAGGCTGGTCTACCTACCATTGAAAGCAGCTATAAAGAGCGTAGTGTCTCATTCTACAATGATGCGGCTGTAAATACCAACAATCCGGGTATCACGAACGCTTATAAGATGTCAGCAATGAAGAATGCTAATAAGCAAGTGACAACGTAATGAAAGAAGGTCAACCGAGAAACGCATTCGAATAAGAAAGTTAATTCAAAGATTGTCTAAGCCCTTCGATTAATCATTCTGAAATGATCAAAAACGGATTGCTTATTTGTCGTGAAACAAATGTTACCTGATACAATAAACTGATCATCAATAGGAAAAACCTCAATTGATCATCATTTTCAAATAGGGTTGGAAACCAGGAAAAGATTTTTCTGCCATATTCACACATTCTCCATCGAAAACTGGAGATGAGAAGGGATTCTGAAGCGCTGTGTTCCCTTAGCACTGGAAGCGTTCTTTCCTTTCCGAAATATCCCTCGTTGCCAACCTTATTTATTTAAATTTTGTTTAGTGCTTCTAATGGTAACAAGAAAATTCAATAAATTTGCACTGAAAAAACGAGATGAATGTTGATAATTACAATTATCAGTTCTTACATCAAGTTACATTTTCTCTACTGCATATGATGACAGAAGAAAATCGAACCTCGGTTTATATCTCGACGGATCTGAACTATGGTTGGCATAGGGATGGATTTTTCAGTCCCCGTGGTCTGCGTAAGAAATTTTTCAGTCCATGCGTAAGTACTGAAAATATGCATATGATCGTTTCATTTCAAAAAACATCTTTTGAAAGATGACAAAAACAGTAAGTAACATAAACAAATAATTAGACACAAGCCAAATCACAGCCTGCCTCAGGCTCGGTAACGTCAATGACATCGGTTCATCCCTCGGTTCAAGCGAAACTTTCCTCCGCAGACGAGAGTCGAATCCTTCACCTACCAATTGAATTGGTATCGAATTGGTACATCGCGGATTTGATTCCCTTTTGCGGGAGAAAATTTTGTTCGAAACCGAATGCTGTACTAATGTCACAAAAAAAAACAGTGTTAAATTGATATCTTATGATATTAACAACGAAAAAGCTATCAAAACTAGTAATAACAATAACGAAACTGAGATTTCGTGCTGTTAACAAACAAGGTGTTATGAAGGTTAATTAAGGTAGTAACAATACCAACTTCTGGTATTAGTAACGCAAAGGAACAAAGCAACAAAATATTTCTCTATCGTACACGGCATTCAACTTTGGCATTGAACGTATCTTCTTGAATGTGACGTTCTCTAATAGAGGAATGCAAAACTACATGAACTGTGAGAGTAAAGAAAGACTGCTGAAGAAGAAACAATAAATTTATTTTCATCTCTTTTATTCTATCAAACGCACGTATGCAGGTCTGTGAATCGTTGAAGAGTGGCGGCTGCTTTACACTTCTGAATGAGTAAACATGCACGTTGACGGCGAAGTTCAATCAGTTTGTCTTGTTCCACATCAACGACGGTTGCTGGAGCTTCACCTTGCATGCTTGATGACAATAATATGTCTCTCTAAAAGCAATCTTCAGATGATTGAAATGGAGGAACAATGAAGAAACTATTCAGCTGCAACTATTTTGATTTGATTCGAATGGACGATCTTCTCACATACTGTGTCTCAACATTCTCATGAAATAACATGCTAGACAAGCTCAGAAATTTCCAGTTTACAATTGCACTATCTTGAACGGTACTTTGCAATATTTAATTGCTACATTCTGCCCATAGAGTACGTCGTTTGTTGGAGGAACTGTTCTAAGGAAGTACAAACAATCATGTCACATACGAAGCATTTCAGTAGTGATTAAAACTACAGCTCATCTCACATCAGCTTTGCTGCTGCTGTTACATGGCTTTTAATGAAATCAAAAATTAAGCATTCATTGATGACTACTCACCACGCGTCTCAAGCAATGCAATTCTGACTCGAGATTTTGTTCACTGAGATGATGCTCCTCTCGCCACTTCTCTTTACGAACTCTAATGGCCTCCAGTCGATCATAAAGTTTCTTTATGCGAGAGCGCATATCTTCTCTAATGCCAACAGCATTCATTACATTGGCATCGTTCAGCACCAGTTGCTTTTCGTACTTGAAATGCGATAAGAAAGAAACAATTTGATACATGCACTTGAATTGTTATCTGCTAACGAATAGCACTTGAGCCATTTCATTGCACACTAAACTGAATGAATCAATCACCTGAACCATAACAACATTTCACTGAACATCTGTTCAAAATATATTTCCTGTTCAAGCAAATATCTATATCAGTATGAGCTCGTTTGCATGAAAGCCTTACTTGGTTCAGTATTATCACAGACTTATAAATCAAAATCTAAACCAAATTTTCCTCGTCAAATCACTTAAACTAAAATTGACTGGACGAGTGAACTAACTATAATTGGTTTACTGATATCTAAGGATCGACCGATCGAAATGACTGTGTAAATTTCAAGTGATGAGGAATAACATTCCTCTTCAAATTTCAGTGTATGAATGATTATTTACCGCATTTTGGAGATCGCGAACAAATGATTTTAGAAATCGATGACGCTGTTTTTGATAACTGTTCCTCAAGACATATTCCATCGAACATTCAGCTGCCTTTATGATGGTACCAATTTTTTGTGGCAAATTCGTTGCGATGTCTTGAGCACTTTCTGCTTTTGCCATCATTCTAATAAGGTATTGCTTCAAACTGTACAGTCGATTCAAATCAGTCCAATGATAGCTTTAATTTTTTAACGGACAACATTCATTTCAATAAGTACTTTCGCCCGAAATTTAACTTATCTCGATTTACTGGGTTCCCATCAAATCTTATCGGTTTGATCTCGCAATGTAAAGCTAGTGAGCTAGTTATAGATAATTAGTACAGTTTATCTAGCAGGTGTTCTACTTTATTGTCCCATTCCTCTGTTCTCACTGCTGAAAAAATTCGTAACATCATTGTCTAGGTGCAGCTCATCCTAGAATCACCACAAACATTTGTTTTATAATTTCACGCAAACCTTAAATTCTGTGTTTATGGAGTCATAAAATACCAAAGTTCAGCACCATTAAGTATTTGAATACTGCTGTTATCATGATTCACCTGCGATATGTCACTCGATATGGATAATGATCACAATTCTGTATTGCTTAAAAAGTAAAATTGGTCGATCGGTGGTTACCTTTCTGAGTAGTCTTTGAGATTGTTATTATTAGAAGCAACAAATTTCCAGAGCATTTTCTCCGCGTCTTCGCATTGCTTTTTGGCTTCATCTTCCTGATTAAAGAGGTCCAACATAATTTCTTCATGCGACTACTATCATATTCTCATACCGATATAGTGCTTTTGGAGATTTCGTATAAATTTGATGGAAGTGAGAAAAACGCGAGAAATTATAACGATATTTTACGTTGAAAAGCAACAAACATCTAGACTCTGTCATGATAAAAATTTCTTGGAGCAATTGTTTTTCTCACAAATTCATCCGCTTGATCCTGCGAAGCATTCGACAAAAGGACATGCTGATCTTTCAGCTTAATAGTTTAACTATGAAATTATCACGTTCTTGTGAATTATCAGATGCTATATGTTTAGTTCGCTTACAGAATGAAACTATTCAAACAAAAATTTAACTTGTTAAATTGAAGTGATAGGCGAACTATTGGATGAAAGGCGAGAGACATAAAAAGCATTCACACTGTTCTGATTGATAAAAAAGAAATCAAAACAAATAAACTTACGATGGAACTGTCATTCGAAATATTTTGGAATTTTTCTTCAGCTTCATTCAAAACTTTTTGCACATCGATAACATCATTCGCTCGAGTAACTATCGTGCTAAGGGCCAGCAAATCTCAACGATTCACTTTGCGTTAGTATTTGGCAGTTGTACATGCTTGCTGTCATTGAGCCTACCGAAACTCATATCCTTCTAACACTTTAACCAGTAGCACTGACTGATCGAACTCCCGTGGCAACATGATAAATCAGTACGAAAGATTCCTCTCTACCGTGAACTGTGTTCATCAGCTCTGTTCAGTTCCCAAAATAGTTAGCACATTTAAAATGCCTTTTGTTCGAATATATTTTCGTTCAGACGTTTGGTGATTCACCGAAATCGCTTGCATAGCTTAGATTAAATGTTAGATATGGACTGTTTACGTAATGGAGATCTGATAGGACAAGCTTGAAGCTCTATATGACGGTATCAATCGAATATGATGGAATGCTTTTAAAAGCAGTGTTATTCTTGAGATCAATTGTAGAATTTATTGATCGTAAAAAAGGATTCTGTAAGAAGCAGCAAATTGTACCTTTTTGTTGATTAGTTTTGGCGTGGACAGTGTTGACAGCTAGTTTATGAATATATTGCTGTGCAGCATTGTTCATCCTCATGAAGGTTTTAGACAGCAGTTGAATGCTTGATTCATGGAGTGACGTTTGCATTGATAAGTTATCTAGCTGCTGCATAAAAATAGAATGATAATCATCTATTATCACCATATTGCAAGTCAACTGTCAAAAAGAATTAGTGATTTAATGTTCAATTCATTTGCTGCACTACTGCGTTGGGATAGCATTTCAAGAACACGCGCGTAAATAACAACTAATTGATCATTTTTATCGCTGAAATGAAGAACAAATCATTTTCAGTTTTAACGTATTTCTACATCATTTTCGATCAACACCGTTTCATTCGAAGGGATTCCTCAAAAAAATTTCGTTGTGAGAAAGCGTTCTGCGATGGATCTTTCAAGTGACTACCAAAAATAACATCAGCATGAAGAACGCAACTATGATTATGGCCAAAACTGCAACTGTATCTTTGATAAAGATGATGAAACCGTTTTCAAGCAATGAAAGAACGGATAAACCTGCTCTAGCGATAACGATTGCCATAGGGATTCGAACGTTATTGCATCATCGTTGTTGGTATATTCAACCGATTTTGACATTGAAATTAACGGTTGCAAGAGATGAAGATAAATTTGTAAACGGTGAACGCTTATGATTGAAAATAAATAAGTCTGTGATGGGTGACGAAGAAACTCAGTAAGTTGTGAGGAACTGATGAAATGGCGAAAGCAACGTTAAACTATTACGCTACGTTGACATTTAGATTCATTCAACCGAAAAAAACAACTTTCGATTGTTGTTATCAGTCCATTAAAGGTATCACAAATGCAAACGACCCACGCATTATTGGCATGCTTCGGTTGAATATATAATGGTATATGAATAAGGTTGAGGTGCTTTTTTCAGCATTTACATCGCTTTGTTGGTTTATTGCCATGAACAGACGTGATTATTTAATTTCATTTCACTTCAACAAACCGATCCACTTCTATGGAAGAATACGATCACTCCTTCGGGGAATTGCTCACGATCAATAATTTTTTTGCATAATCAATCAGATCGAAACTCAAAAGTAGCCACGTGAGCGATAAGGAAAAGTGATGTGTTAGTTCAGATTTTTGCACAAAATTTTTGCTTCTTGCTAATGCTTCCGACGAATTGCTTCAAAATATTCACTGATGATTCAAATCCAACCTCAGACACCAATTGATCTTGCAAAAATCTGTTCGTAATTTTGCCCAGCATGTTAGCTATACACGTAATCAAGCACAATAATATCGCCGCATAAACGTCATAAAACATCAGTAATCGCCAATACAATCGAAACGTTGTGTTGATATATAGACGTATGTGTATGTGTAACTATGAGTTGACACTTCAGTGCGTACCAATGCAAGGTCGTTTATTGGAGAGCGTTCTTTTTAAATGAATTTTATGTTGATGTTAACGTATTATTCCGATATAATTGCGATAAGGTGATATGTGTTGTTGTTCGTTCACTGCTAGAAAGGTGCTACACTTATGAAATACAAAAACATTTATCTTCCGCATGCCGTTCTCAAAATGACGTCTTGTTCCTCTAGCCAGCCGTTTACACAAATTACAGTTCCACGACTCATACAAAGCTTAACATATCAGTAGTACTTCATTGATTCAATCAGTAATTTCGATTCTTTCATTAATTATCCATGTAACTGTGAATTGTCTAACCGTGAAGATTTTTTTCTTCGTTTATTCACTCGCAAATGTTTTTCGATTATTGTTAACGCATGCGTTAGCGCACAAAATGGGGTCTTATATGGATACCACTCAAGATGAATGTTGATATCGATATTAATACAATGATATTCTTTGTCTGTTGATACTCAAATATTTTGAATGCGCTTTCTTTGATGTCAGCATCATTAGCATCGTGAATAAAACATCACTACTGACCAACCTTAATTGCCACATTGCATTTTGTTGAACAAACATATTTATTTCTAAACTTACGAAACTATTTGAAAGCTTAATTAAGGACTCGTTCCGTTGCTGAGTGTCAATGCTGAATGGCTTGCATTCCAATGATATCAGTTTCGTTGTCTCAATTTTGTAATCTTCGTCTGATATTTTCCTTATAATCATTTCCTAATCATATTCGTCTATATGTACTAATAATGTCCATTAGTGTACAAACTAGAGTAGCTAATTTCTCGAAACGATCACTATATTCCAGCTCAATGATTCTTTAACAGATTTAAAGATTCTTTATCCCCTCACCATGAGGGTTGCTAATGGGAGGAAGTCAGCAAGAAGTAAACGTGAAATTGGGGAGGAGAGGGGGAAGAAGAATCGATAGGCATCCAAACAGGGTGCATGAATGGGAGGAGAGGAGTTTGATTATGAATTCTTCTTTCCTGTCAACGGCTCAGCTGAATTAGCTCTGCTAGTGGGCAGGGCTATGAACATCCTACAGTTAAGCCAAAACAGTCTTCCAAATGGCGATTTTTTTGATTCATCGAACTCATGTTGATTGAGTTTTACGTAGATTTTACTTTTTCATAGAACTTCTTCAAAAAATTGTTTCTATAGAATGCAGTATGTAGAGTGATGGGGATGTAAAACAACGAGAGGAGTTGGTTGTATGAAGAAGTTCGAGAAACAATGTTTTAATTAATTGATTTCTTTCTAAGAAACTTCACAGAAATTCCTTCACGGAATTGAGGTCTTTCGGAAGATTGTAATGGTCAGGTGGAATCCAAAAAATAATGCAATCTCTGTAAATTTTTATTACATGCATAGACTCATAGTTACTACCTCATGATGGATACAAGGGGTAGTTTATAGGAGGAAATCCAAAATTCTTGATATCAGTTAATCAGTTTAGAATGTCAATATGCGTCATCTTTTTTTTGGGCAAGATCTCGATTTAAATGAGCGTTTTCTTGGTTAGACCTGTATTTTATTAGGCAGCTGCAAATGTGGTACTGAAAAAAATTTCTCTGATTTCAGATGCATTGGTGTATTCTGATTTGTGTTGGTCCGAAAACATTTTGTGTAAAATTCCAGACAGAAACATCGCACTCGGAGTTTGCGCTTTGCGCTAAAACTTACAAGCATGGCAATAAGTTGAGCGTTCTGCTCGTTACTAAAGTTTCTGTTTGATTTTTGACGCATTAGTTATAAATGATCCACTTGATTTTAGGAAATATTGAGAAAATTTTCGCAGCAGTTGAATCACATCTTGAGTGACGCGAGGTGCACGAACATTTTAAGATCGTAGTAAGCGGTTACGGCTATCCAGCATTCCTTTTCGTTGTTTGTTTTTTGATTTTTTTTCACTCTCGTTTTTTATGTATTAGATTATTGAGAAACATGATGTAACGAAACATGATCAAAATTGCATGCCTAGATAGCTTTAGGTGCATTCAAATATTCGGATTTGAGTAGATATCTTAATGTGCTACTACTCATCAGATCAGTGTTCGTCTCCACTGCAATAAAGCATTTATAGCTCATCACATACTGGATGGAAGATGCCGAGAATTATTTAGTAGAGAGATAATGCATAATAGAATATATACAATTGAATTATTGTTATTGTATTGATATATGCTGTTAGCTGAACGAGTTTGTGAAGAAAACGATGATGATAGAATGCTAAAGGACGTATTGCGATTACTGCAGTGCTTTATACCATTTGTATCGATTGGCTGTTGAGATGTATATTTGAAATGATCATCAATTGTTTGCTTTTAAGATAAGTCCAGACAACACACATCGGTAATGAAATGAACTCTCAATGACCACATTAAAAGTATGAACATACAATGTTGATTTTATAAAATTTATTTGATTAATTATGGTTGAACCGAATTTATCTTGCAATAAGTTTACTTAAACGATCATAAACAAGGCTCTCATTTGCTTTTGGAAGTAGCGATTCATACTCGTGATTGTGCGTTGTTTGATTAGATGACTCACTGAATATTATTGATAGATTAGCGTTTCAAGAGTTGCATTAAAGTTAAATGAATCAGACTTAAGATGGAACATTAAATGATGATCAAGCAAACAAAACAAATCGAGTTATGTGTCGCTCACACTAATTATCTTCTTTGAAAATGATCGAACTAAAAAAATCGTTTTCATTAAATGCTTAGCTATATTATCAATGCTGGATTTTGCCAATTTAAGCAACATATTGAAAAAAAAGTTATCCGCTTGCATTTTTTGGCCAATTGATCAGTGCATAGTATCTCATGAATGTCAATCAAAAAGTCAATAGCACATCTTCATAATTAAAAAGATCCTAACAATTATGTGAATTATGATATCTAATGACATCGAGTCTTTCACTTGTGGATCTCCTAATGGCGATTCATTATATGTGATAGGCTTATTTATATCGAAAATTACGATAGTTTTATTAGTTTTAGTTTTGTGCGGAATATTAGAAACTTTTTCATTTATTTGCACCACACTATTTTTTTCTAATGAGTTTGATGACCATTCTATCTGCAAACATGCATATAACCTGAAAGAAATTGCGATGTTCCGCACATGACAATTTTTTTGATGTCAGTAAGCTTACTAACAGCGCTTATTTCCATCGTAATTGTTACATGTAGATCGTGAAATGTTTTCAAAAAATCATTTCATCAACAGATTAACCAATAGTGATTTCTCAGGCGAATGGCTCTTCGAGTGGATTATCTAGAGCCATCAACATCAGGATGTAATAGCAAAAAGTCAAAAGAAAATTTGCATGTTCCTCATACGTTGTATGATCCGGTTCAACTACGTCAGTATTCAGTGTTGAATTTCCTCGGCAAGGTATGTTATATGTTGGTGTCTTAGGCAACAATTTGATCGCAAACAGCACAGCATCCATTGTTTACGAACTCTCTATTTTCATTGAATTGCCTAACCGATGCAACAATTTTGCGGCACTTAAACGGCTTATTATGGATGTGCCTCAGTACTTATTACATCATTTCATTTCATCAACCACTGCAAACAATCGAATTTTTAAGGTTTCGAGCTGAATGGTTTCAGGCAATGGTTCTTAATGTTAACAGCCTAGTTACCCATTAAAGGCTGAGATCATAATCAAATCACTCCTTCTCATTTCTTGTGCATCAGTATTCAGTTTCGCTTTCAACATAAAAAAGAAAACGTTGCGATAATTTGAAGAAGGTTTTTGGCTCACTAAACTAGTCCATTCTGAATGTTTTTTTCGCCCACTGATGGGCAGTATCACCCATATTGAAATACACTCATTTTAAGCATCATCAATTTGTATTTAAATGCTAAACATAACAAATTGGTAGTTGAAATTACGAGAGAACCATTCGGAAAGGCAATTTACTTAACCGAATTAGCTGATGAGAAGGGTTAAACATTATTAAACAGAATTTTCAAAAAATTTCTGTTCATGCAACCTTTGATTGAAAGCAGAAGCAGAAATCTTTCATAAATGCAAAGTTTGCATGCGCTCAACAGTTTTTGGCGAATTAAACTACCATGTGCAATTTTAGCATATGCAAAAGAGCATGTGATGACAAGTTATTCTTGATTTCATTAGATTTTAAGCTCCGAGAATAAAATTGTTGATGAGTCCCATCGATTACAGAGCGAAATTGCGAGTTTCGATAATTAAAAATGAAATAATTTGTTTCACATTTTAGGGTGCTTACGGACGATGTTATGAGATGAAAGAATTAACGCAGTTACCCCATGATAATACCACAAATGTAGCTCTGAAAGTGATTTCCAAGTCGACGCTTAGAGATTTTGCGCATATCGAAAAAATACGAAAAGAAGTAGCAATTCATAGTTCGCTCAATCACGATAACATTATCAAATTGCTTAGTTTCTTTGAAGACAGTATGAACATCTATATGGTACTTGAACTTGGTGTTTATGGCACTTTACTCAACAGCATACAATCATCAATGAGTTGGTTTCCTCGATTTTTTTTGTCGTTTAATGCCATCTTGAATATATTGCAAACGCTTCCTTCTCTATCATTTCGAAATTTTTGAACATACATGCATATTTTTCAAATGTACTGCCAACAGTAGGACTGTGCATGTGGAACATCAAAGGTCAGCCGAGCTCTATTTGCTCTGTTCAAGAGAGATATCTTGCGCCAGCTTCTCTCTCTGAACCTGAATTGTGAATGGAACATTCGGATTGTAGCAGTTAATGGTGTGTGACTTTTAGGGTTGGTAAAGATTCTGTTGGAGATTAGTTGTAGTATTCAGAATGATGTTGAAGTGACCATCCAAGGAAAAGAGATAAGAATTCATGTGAAGTGCTTCTTTCGCGTAGAAAAATTCGTTTCCAAAATGTGATTGATTGCAGCGGGTCATCTGAGTGAGTTAGTTGCTCGTTGTTATATGCGACAAATCGTGGACGCTGTTTTATATATTCATGAAGTGGCCGGCATTTTGCACAGAGATCTCAAGCCTGGCAACATACTCCTCGGTCACAAAAGTCGAGTACGTTACCCCATGTAAATATTTCATTCGTACATTTATAATTTTCAAAGAAAGCGCTTGAATTGATGCAACCATTGGTCAGTCATTAATGTATAGCCGTATTCAATAGATAAGCTTATGACTAGCGATATTCGGTGCAGAACTGAGAAATGTTGTATGATGGTGCAAAATACAACTTATGATGTAAATATTGTATAGCACAAAACGTTGCTTTGATTTTCGTTTTTTACACAAACATTGAACTGACGACGTATTGAGTTATAATATGTAGGTTTGTACGAATCTGGAATGTGTTGAGCAACTAATTGAATTTTGTAGATAAGAAGACGTTTCCAGTTGTTATTACAGGTGAAATTGGCAGACTTTGGATTAGCAGTGAAAATATCTGATTTACCGAAAGTTTCTCATGCGCTTTCAGGGACACCAAATTACTTGTCGCCTGAGGTATGATTTTTGTGTTGATGACAGCCTACGAAACTGAATGCAATTTAGAATTGTCACAGTATCAGGATTACATTATTCATTCAGTCCCTGATGAAATAAAAGTCGTCTGGAATGAATTTTCGTTTATTTGTTATTTCTTAATTTCATCAGTTCATCATTGGTTCCACCGATTTTATTGCTCTCCTTTGTTTTTGCATATCTTTGGCAGTCGTACTTAAATTTCTCTTGGGAATGCAACAGTGAAGTGGTATTGTCTCGTTGTCGGCGATTTATCCATTTCCTGTTCTTTTCTACTTTTTCAGATGCATTTTAATCAGTTACTTGCTTTCGCTAAGCAGTAGGGAGCCATGTTAGGGATTTTTTGATTTGAATATCAAATTTTAATTCTTTGAGGTACTGGATAATTATGGTCACTCGAAAGAGTCCGAAGCATGGGCGCTTGGATGTATTTTCTATTGCATGGTGGTAGGTAAACCACCGTTTGAGACTGAAGATTTAGAGGGAACGTATGCACGGATCCGAAGTTGCAGTTATGTTATTCCGACACATGCTCGTATCTCTGAACGTGCATGTTCTCTGATTCGTCGGTAAGTTGACTTCTTATTGTGCTTCAGCTGGAATTTTTGAAGAATATTTCGTTTTTATGCAAACACTTTTCTTCATTATTCGCACTAGTTTCGGTCGTAGTCTTTATTCTTCGAGGATGTGTTATGAACGTTTCTGTGTTCTGCTCCAATAATTATTTGTTCACTGGGTGAGGAGTATCATTCTGTTTTGAAAAAAAATGTTACCGGCCACCCGTGCATGATGAAGACGCTTTGCTCATCTGAAATTTGTGGCGTGTTGAATGCCAAATTTTAATCGTCCAATCATGAAATTAGATTACTCGATCGTGATGTCCGACGTCGAATGAAAGTCACTGAAATTATGCAATGCGATTATTTTTCGAATGGAAATTCAATCAGGTCGGTTACATTCATCTTCGATTATTTATCATGATAGGGAAAGTGGCAATATTTTAGTGTGAACGACAGTATGTGTTTTAGTGCTGGCATCCGAACGAAATTTCATTTCGGTCGGAATTCGACCGAATCGGCTTTTTTACATTTTTTACATCCGAATTTCGAAATTTGGTATTTCAACGGAACTTCAGTCGACTACCATCACTACCTCATTTGAAAGTTGTTGGTTATGGATGAACAATGAACAGTGCCTTGTTTCAAAACTAACTTAGGCAATATCTCTTGTAAAACGTCGTAAGAGAAATAGGTAAATAATGATTTCATGTGATACTTCAGCAGAGAATACCATGCGAAATACTTTGTGGTAAAATGCATCCGAAGGAAAATCTTTGTTTTGAAAAACATTTTCAAGAAATAAATTGAATCATGATTGATTTTTAGCACGTCCAATCCTTTGGGTTCTCCGAGCAGCATTCATGTTAGTTCAGATTCACTTTTATTTGAATCTCTATTGCCAAGTAACTAAATTTTGGTTTATGCTGAAATGCTGTTGTTGGCGGAAAAAATGAGTAACATTTCAATTTAATGAGCATATATCAATAAGAGGATATTGCTTGAAAAAAGTAATTGCACCGTGTATTCGATGGGAATATGCAGAAATAAATGAGTAAAAGAAAAAGCATTATTGAAACATTTCAGAATAATGGAACAACAACACCAGAAGGCTACCAGGCAGGTATACTGTCTCGAGATTCCGGATTGGAATGTGAAAATATGCGTTCGCCAGATCCGGGTGGCCCATTGTTGTTATTGAATTTATTCATGTGTGGTGTTATCAATGGTTAGTTTGCATTACCAATATTTTTAGCAAATTCGTTCTATGCTAGGGTTGGCTTTTTTTATGGTTCATGTATTAGTGATCCTTTGAGTGCATAAAAGGTAACAAACTCTTGATATTGCTTCTTTCAGTCACAAATGAATCAAGCACTATCATAAAAGAGAATATCATAATGGTAAATAAATGGGTTGATTATACAAACAAGTATGGTTTCGGGTGTATTCTGAGTGATTATACTGAATGCATGTTATTTCTTGATGGCTCTTCTTATGCGCACAGGTCACAAATCTATGCTATTTATTCCATACATTTTGAAAGTATTCACGATCAATCAGTTGTGTCTTTAAAGTGCATTTATCTTCTGAACCTCTCCATCATATTTCTCTAATTTAAATCTCGACCAAATATATTTCTAAACCACACGTTTTTCTCGATCATGAACCATTAATCATCATACGAAACTTCCTGAAGTTGAATGCTTATGGATGAGTATATTCATAACATACCAGACTATGATGTTTTGATTAAAGGTTTGCGTCGCCATACAATAAAGAGTGTATACAAATGGTGCTTGATCCTCTCGAGAGACATTCAACGATTTATAGGTGGTCATCAGTGGATGATATACAAGATCTTAATGTTATCCGGAAGATGAAAATTGCAGCTTTATTAAGGTATAACTGCATATACTTGTATTTACAAGCAATCCATGTGCTTATCCCTGAAACAATCTGAAAAAAAAAACTAATGATCAGCGGTGATAGTTCAACGAACTCGACCGATTTAAGGGGTTAGCATTCGGTTGAATCGGGGTGAGTATCTTGTATTAGCCAAGATAGATTGAATGCTGCCAAATAAGTAGTCCAAATTACTGATTGAATCGGCCAAAAAACCTTTTAAGTTCGTTAGGATCAGATTGATTTTGCAATATTACGTCTTTTATTACCAGCACATTACACACGACACAAATAAATCGAATGAGCTCCAGAAAAAGAACTAACAAGTCTATCATGTAAGTAAGTCTGTTGTAAGTCTATCATCGCTCTACAATGAACGTTTGATGTGGTCATCCTGCTATGTATGTAAGATAATTCTGAACTGGTTAGGGAATGAGATTGAAATGAAGTGTAAAATCAGATGGTACGATTAATCTGTTTATGATCTATTTTATATGCTCCAACGAATTGCTTGTTACAATTCGCGAATTCATGACATTTCATAATACGAAATTCATAATACGAAATATTTTATGCTATGCTGTTTGAGATATACAGCCATAAAATTATTGATGTATTTTGAAGTTGGAAAACGTTTCGTCTTTGTTCAACTAATCCTTCCTTTTCAATTTCCTCTTTACTAAAAACTACAGATGTATGCACCGTGAATTACAATCCGCAACATCATTCATTGCAATCACATCTCAAATCAATCATTTGGTCTATCAAAAACGAGGTAATGGTGTGCTTGTGATGGTGCTCAGCGATGGGACTACCCAGGTGTGAAATTGTTTGCAAAGTGCCTTCGTAGTATACTGTTAGTTGAAAGCGAACATTAATATTACTCATTCCGCTTTGCACACCTCTTATTCATTTGCTAAAACTCATTTTTTAGATAACCGCTAAAGAAATAACGTCATCATTGCAACAATGATGATATTTCAATCGTCAACATTCTAATAATTCTTACTGATAATAAACACAAAACTTTTTTATGCGTCATCGAGTTCTGTTTCCATACATCATTCATCTTCGATTAGCAAATTGAGAGAGTGCCGCATCAATATCGCGCATAAATTATACATTCTTTATATCAACCGAATTACATTATCCGAATCTTTGCCTCAATATTTTTACACGGCTATTACTCACTCTCAATATAGGTAAAGAAATTTTTTGGAACGCTGAAAAGTCACATGGCATTTTCAGGAATTGTGTAATATTTTGAAGCAGAAATGGCAGAACTAATAAAATCTTTGTTACATTCGTCATTGTAGATCAATTTGTTGGAGACGCACGAGAAATTGGTGCTGAGAATGGATGAGAACGACGAAATCAGCGTTGTAGTGGTGAATTCGAAGCATGAAATGCGGTCGTGTCGTATGTGTGCGAAGGCACCGATTCCAAGCAGTATCGAAAATCGTCGCATTTATGATCTCATCACCGAAGCTAGATTTCGTCTCTTTGATCACTGTACAGGTCCATATTACGTCACGGAATGTTAACTTCATTGTTTGTTTTATAATGACGAGTATTGTGCTTTCTGTTAGAATCGTTGTCTTGTTACGCACTGAATTATCGTTTCATTTGTAACCAATAAGCATTCCAATTCGACTGAAATTTTCGTTTGAAATTAAGACGCTTTTTTTTATTCGAAATCGTTCGAAATTTCAGTTCATTTGAAAGCAAAATGCATAATATTTTTGGCGAACTCTTTAGGTATGAATTATGTTCTTGATAATTCTGCTATCTTGGTCAGTAGAAGGTGATGCATTTGAAACAGAATCCTGCCATTTCTTGGCACATAACGATGATCGGATGATTCAATGATGATCATTTAATGATGTGTTGATTGTTAATGATGTAAAAGTAACGCACTGCACTGCGGTAGAATTTGGTGATTTTTATGGTGCATGAAATATTCGTAAACCAACTGCAATTCTTGAACCATAGAAATTCTTCCATCGTCGAAAGCCGTGATTTTCAAATATGAGAAATTTTTCATGCCTCCCCCCCCCCCCCCCCCCCCCCTCCCTCCCTCTTCCATTGGGGCTATGAGATTTAGCTTGTAATGGACGTACTTGAGTGAATCATTAATTCCAGCAGTGCTGCATAATTGAGACACTCATTGGTAAAACATTATTTGAATGGGATGATGACGGTTCTTAATCCAGCCAATTAAAAACACGAGTTTTGATTCATTCTTGAGCACTTGAACTTCGTTTACCGACTGAAATTTGGGTGAAAACTGATGAAATGCGCTTTTCGACTGTCGCCTAAAATTTACCAATAATACATTCGGCGCAAGAAATGCTGTTCGTTTATTGTATGTGTCACGCGTGATCAATACTCAATGATGTTTCTCGACTTCTTCAGACGATTCAACTGTTTCGTTAATTGCAGAGTACTTCGTTCGAATAACGTTATTGTTTTACAATCAGTGTTAAAATCACCATTGTAGTGCTCGTTTTTAGTATTTATGTATTAAACACATTTCGATGAATGCTTCTCGACTCATCAAGACGATTAAAATGTTAAATTGCACAAAACATAGGGAATGAATCATACCAAAGAACATCAAACAAATGAATTTATATTGACCATTTTCATTACTGTTTGAAATGTTCATTCGCTTGCAGCTTCAAGTTGACCCGCAAATAATTTATTTCTGAAAGTGTATTTGCGCTTAACAATTTATTTGTTGTAATTCATTCACTGATAAAATTCAAACTTGGCTCATTTTTACTGCCTCTATGTTAGACGATATTGGCCATAACACAAAATCTTGTTGTTCATAGCAGTGATTTTGATTGTGATGATATAATGCCTATGTATATAAGCAATGTGTTGCGTTGTATGATACATTAATATCATGGTTGTTTCGTAATTCTAAACGAATGCTTTTAATGTTACATGCAGATTTATATTGTGGATAGTAAAGTTAAATTACTTTTGTCTTCTAATGATTAACTTCTGAAGAACAAACCACACTTTCAGCGAAAGAGATTTGACTGCTTGACAACTCTCGAGCTTTTAAACTCTTGAGGGCTGTGAATGATGAGTCGTTCATAGAAATCTCATAAATTTGTTCGCTGACTGGCATCAATCTCATAAAATTTTTCATAACTTCCTATTGTTAGGCCATTGAGATCTAGCAGCTAGTAAAGGGATTTTAAATTTGAATATTGAAAGGACTTGGGGATTCGTTCTAAAAGAAATTGGATTGCTTCTCATGTCATGGTTATGAATTTTTCATAATTTTCTTCGCTCTATAAAAATTGCACAAAAACGATTGCTAGATGATGAAATCGTTATCAGAATTCATTGAGTGCATTTGACGATTGAGTACGAAAGTAAAACGAATGATTTTGAGTGGTCCTGGAGAAGTTGTTACTACTGAGACGGATATTTTAGAGATGGAACATTTGATCGATAATGCTATACGCAACGAAATATTCAATAAAGGTTTAGAATTTTGTATTTGATGAGTGGATAACAATTGCAACCTTCTTTGCAAGCTAATTAGCATTCAGTGCTCAGTGAAAATGATGATAGGTCAATTACAATTGGTTTATGCTTTAGAAAAACATAATTAAATTCAAAAGAATCCATTGAGCATTATTTCAATCTGAATTGAGCGTTTTTGTTTTAAGATGCTAATCGACCGAAGCACAACGATGAACAAAAGAATTTTGATGCGATATTCATCAACTCAATTTATGGCTTAAAATTTCATCGTTCCAGTGATAAAAACAAGATATGATACCAAACAGATGTTGCTAGTTTTGTTTCTACTGAATGTCATCCAGTGAAGCGTCAAAATGCAATAGCAAGCTCCGATTGCATTCGTATTAGTAATTTGATTGAAGGTAGCTTAACTGAGGTTTTGAAAAATACATCGAGTAGCTCCATTGAGATCACAGATGTTTGCAAAGCTCTTTTTTTTTTTCAATTTGTTTTTTTTTAAATAACAGATCATGTGATTTCGAATAATCAAACCTGTTTAGGGGCTCTTGAACAAGCTTCAACTATTGCAAGTAATCACGATCAGTAATGGTTCAGCTTTGTTCCACTTCGTGCATTACGGCAGTGAAATGTGTTGAGCCAAAAGCACTGAACTGATATTGAGGTGGTGCAATGCGAGGTTCTCAATATAATAAACGGAGTTTAGTTAATTGTCTAGCAAATGAATATTTGCAAATAATTTATCGCACTGAGTTTCGATCATTGCAGCAACATACATCATTAAGAGGTTATAAAATTTCTGATGAGATTTCTCATAAGATTTTATAGCGACTAGCCGTTTCATTTGTTTGCTCTCAACTGATGCCACACGAAACGCAAAATTAACGCTGTTCTTTAGAGTTTGAATCAACATAAGAATGTTTTTGGTTTATATATGTGTATGTTCATGAATGACAAATGTTAAGGCGGTCGCAGTTCATAGAAACGATCAAAGACATTGCCATTTGTGTCGGTCGTACCACAACGCTTCAACCCACCTTCAATGTGTGTCTTCTTGGCCAGAATTCATCGTTCTGGAGCAGTCTAACTTTATTGTCTAATTACTATCATCGACCATCGAGAAGATACCATTCAAATCAATGTGATATGGTTCTTGCAAGACATCTCGATTTTAAAGTGAGTGATCCGTACAATAATTGCATATTCTGATTATTTACTATATCGCGTTCACATCGATTTAAGAATATTTGCTTCAAACTTTCCTATCATCTTCACACCTAAAGTATTGATGGTGACTGATCGAATTTTCAGTTTGAGCATTTCGTTCAGATTTTCGGTATTTACCGAATTTTGAAATATTGAAAAGTTTCTGCGATCGAATTTTTATTCAGTCGGATTCTGAACGAATTCAAATTTCTTTCGGTTACCATCATAACCCACAGCTATTTACCATCAATTCCTTTCAGGTAAGTGTAGTTTCTTCGTGTTCTAAAACGATAGCGCTGGAGTAGAATCTGCTCAATTCGCGCTTTCATTGATCTCTTCCCAACTTTTAGACACACGTAACAGTTTGAAACGATGAAATAATGGATAAGAGGTGAATTGTCAGCCGCTGTTTAGAGTCAAATCTGCTTTGATAAGACACCAACTCTTTATTGTTGCAATTCCTGAATAATTCCCTACTTAATTGAATTAAAGGCTTATACAATGCAAAAAAAACATTTGCAAAAAAGTATTTTAGAACTTCACTTGCAACTGTTCGCGTTGTTCATATGCAAGATTCCTCAGTTTCATCTAATGTATTCAGTGTTCGTTAACACTTATAAACTTTGTATAAAATTCTTAGCAAGTTTAGCTGAATGCTTACATTTAAGAAGTGCCGTTTTCAATCATTTTCTTCATTTCGTCGGTAATGTTTTGTAAGCAATATGTAACTGCGTTCGTAAGTTGAGCTGTTACTTGACTATGTATGTTTCACTGAATGCGTTGCAAATGAATGATATGTAGATGCAATTTATTCCACGAAAATATCTTATATTGATCATTTTAATAAAATTTCATCATAAACTATTGCCAATGAAATACGAAATCTACTTGCGCATGCGATAGATTGCTCTTAATCTCTCGAGTAGTCATCACCATTCAAGTATGTTGCATTAGAAAGCATCCTTTTTGCGAACGAAGAATGCAGTCACATTCAATGGATAGCATTCCACTCGAAAGCAATCAGAAACATCAGCAAAAAGTTGATTTTCATAAGTGAAACAGGCAAATGTTACAAATCTCCTACAATTCTGCTCTTCTCATTTTAAACTCAGTCAGTTATTTTGATTTTTTGCACTTCCAAACACCAACTTTTACTCGTACTTTTTCACATATCTTTTTCGTTGACTACACAAATTTCACTCAAAATCCAGTCAACATATGCACAGTGATTTTAGAACTCTAATAATTTAAATGAATTCTTGAATCATGATATCAGATAATAAGTTTGAATCTGAGGGTAGTCAAGATCATGTGAAACGAGTCTTTAATCAGATGGATTAGAACAGATATCACTGTCTAAGTGATCTTAGTGGCACACGAATAGACGTTCTAACCGCAACGGCAGATTGCATTTCGTTGCTTTTGAATGCCAATAATGAGAGAATGAAAAATATAAATAATTGAAATCTGGATAACACAATGAGAGTTGTGCAAACGCTACGCAATGTGAGAACGAATTAATGACGCACTAAGAATGCATTTGCAATGTGTGTGTATCAACTTGTGATTTATATATTGATCATTAAAATAGAGGATTATTCGTTTTTGTTGTTTGAGGTGGTGTGCTAAAGCGAAATTTCAATTTGCTAGAAACATTTGACAAATTAAACAGAAAGATGTGTATGAATTTGACTGTGAATCGAAATTAATATCATTAAAGATGTAGCACTCAAGTGGTGTGCTTGAAAGGCATACTCGTGATGTGTACTGATACTGTACTGATACGAACTGAGCATGACAATCATAAGGGCACTCGCATATTATTAAATGAAAT